GGTGCTTCAAACTCCGAGCCAGTAGAGTGAACAAGGGATAGACTTTAGACTAGATGATAACTTTTTAGAGATTGTCAACCTATTTTGGGAGGGATCTACGCCAAATGTAGGCAATGGGTTCTTCTAGGGTTTAAATCACAGCTTTTCAGGCAGAAGTGTGATTTGACATTTTGCATTGGATCATATTAGGCTTTACAGCAGATTGTGAACAAAATTCCTCTACCTTTTTTGTGTATTTTGATGTTATTGGGCTAGTGTGAAAACACAGATGGCAATGTAAATTGTGTAACAAATTGTATGGCATGCGTCTTAGAGCTCAAACAGTAACAGAATAGAGCTTCTTTCAGTTTTTACTCCTGCACAACTATACCTATTGTGGCCAATCTCTCTCTGTCTTCCCAGAGCAAGTCTCAGAAACCTTCAGACTTAGTATCAGTACTTCTGCCAACAAGATGGTCAAAAGACAGAAAACTGGTGCAACAGGTAGCACACCATGGGTATATCAGAGAAAGTACTTAAGCAACATGTCTCTGTCTCATTCAGCTCCTTGCTACACAGCCTCTTTCAGCTCTCTGACCCTCTGATCACAGAAGGACATTGCCAAATGGTCAAAGTCTGCTAGGTCTCCCTCCAACCATGAGGGTTACTCCTCACTAGACTCTTTCCTTCCAAGATGTCTGTTCTCTCTCTTGCATGGATCTGCTCTGGGTTTAGCCACAATCTGGCAGAAAAGCTGCAAGACACTATTCAAGTCTCCTGTGTGAGGGCCTTCCAGCCACCATCTTTCCTTCTCTGCCCAGTCACTGGAGGCTCTCAAGGTTGTGGCAGCAGCAGCAAACAGCTGGCTGTGTGAGGTGATGTAAGCTTATATATTTGCTTCTCTTTTCTTGTCCTTACACTGACACTGAGATAGCTTCTTATATATTTAAGTACAGTGTGAGTCCTGGTTGTTCAGCCTCTTGCTGAGGTCCTGCTGTACTGGCAAAGGCAGCCCCACCTGCATGTATCACAGCAACGCTGTGTGCTGGCACAAATACTACCAGTAGGTAAAACTTTCTAGTGGCGTATGAAGGACTTCTAAGGACCAGGTGCTGTAGCTGGAAAAGTGGATTCGTTTTTTGTGTGACTTTCTCTCTGAAGTTCAACCGAAGGAAACTTTTTAAAGCTTGGCACTATTTGTCCTATCTGTTTTCTCCTTTCATATTATAAAGATCCTAGAAGAGGACTGTGGGGGATGCTGCCAGCAGGGGGGATCCTAGTGACTGCACACTGTCAGAAGCTGAGTTGCCAGAAAAGCCAGGGAGTCATGAGCAGGCAGAAGGCGGCGCAGAGTATGTAGAGATAACATAAGGGAGGACCTGCTGGCTTTGGAGCAGGGGGGAAGTTACTTGAACAGAGTTGTAGAAAGGAAAATGTATGAGTCAATATTCATCCATATATTCATGATCTGTAGACTTGAGTGCTGTGATGCTCATTATCTAGGCATGACCTTAAAAACTGCAGTTGATTGAGAACACAGCAGCCCATCTGCTTGGCAACACGGGCTGCTGGGGGCCTCTCACCCCGGCACTCTGCTCTCTTCACTGGTTCTCTGTTCTTCATCTGAATACAAATTCCAGGGCTCCGACTTCACCTCCAAATCCTCTGCTGGGGGCTCAGATAAGGCATCCGCAGCTGCTTCTCTTTTGAGGACCCAGTGAGTGAAATCTGTGTGTGCAGGAAACCCAGCTTTTTCTGTGTCCAAGCTCCGGTTCTATACAACAAACTTTCTCCTCTTCCCTCTCCCTCCAAAATGAGCAGTGAGCACAAGCCTCTGGGCCTGAAAGACTCCGTCTTCCACCAGCCTTTCCACAAAAGCAACCAAAGCACCCATCCATCACCCTTGCTAGGCAAAGCGGAGCTTTGTCGTGAGCCCTGTGTAATTCGGGGTGGTGGTAGGTACCATAATGACAGTTTGACTAAGCCCTACGATCGGCCTGGATGTAACATGAAGAGTGAGTTGTGGCTGAAACGGAGGTGTTCCCTATACCCACTAGCTTTGTGCAGGTTTTTCTGCTGGGGCGAAACACCTTCCCCATCTGCCCTGTCCTCGTGGGAGTCTGAGGAAATTTCATGAATGAAAAGTCACAGTTTCCTGCCCTGCTTAGTAGGGGACAACAGGCCTCTTAATTTTTTCTCTACCACCCTGCCTTGTTTTCAGCTGACCAAAAAAATGAATGAATGAGAACTGTTCATTGTCACTTAATCCTTTAAAATACACAATTACCAGAAAGGAGGAAGCAATGTTAAATTTTCTGTCCGTATGAAAAATCCCTCTGCTTCTTCTTCCAGACACCTTCCTGAGCCTGCTTTCTAGCATCTTCTCTTCTTTAAAGAAAACGTGTCTTTCTTCTAAGCAATTAAACACTATAAAAAAAGGACATTTTCTCCATCATACTTTCCCATCTCCCCTTTCCTGGACGGCAATCACATACTCCAGATCTCATGCTGTGAAGGATATTCTGCCACTGGTCACATCTGGTTCCCTGATGAGATCCGCAGGCGGCTGCGCTGGCGTGTTTTCTGGGTCACATGACACGTCTAGGTTGCCTTATCTTCCCAAAGACCAATGCTTTTTAATGCCCTTTGATTCTGTTTCTCTCTTTTTCGCAGTACTTCTATCATATTGAGACTGAACTGTTGCACAAATGCTCATGAGATCAATCTACAAATCTTAAATATGGTAAAAAAGAGGTGTTTCTCTGAGCAATCTGTTGGAGAGATTTTGTACTGACTTTTAGACTAGTTACATACTGGTACGCATTCCTTTAGCGTTAATGCTTCCTTTGGGACTCGAACCTTACAGAAATATGAGAACTGAGCATGCAGGCTGCACACATACTATGAAAGTAAGCCTGCATGTAGTGTGTGCGTGGAGAAGACATGCTCTAGCTATGTATGTGGAAAGAAAAATTCACAGCCTATCTTCTCTAGCTACCGCTGGAAAATTGCATCTCTTTTAAACTCTTTCTGTAATTTTCATTTGAGGAACAAGATTCTTTTTTCTGAAAAGAACTCCTAGTAGAAGTCTCCACAGTATACGCTATTAAGAATAAAAAATAACAAATAAGTCAACAGGCATATATTAAGTCAGTAAGGCCAGGAGTTTATCGATAATAGACTAAGGATGAAGGATATTGTGGCAGTTGCATTTAGCGCTCAGAATAAAGTAAATCAATCAGATTGACTGTATGTTGATTTAAAATCCTTAAAGATTTGGGTCGAGATCATTCTTTTTTCCCAGAAACAGTCTCCGTGGCAGGAATCTTTGTACCCTCAAGAAATAAAGAAATTTTCCAATTTAATTTTCTCAACCCAACCCCCACTGATATTATGCATTTACTTGTTGTGCTTGGTTCTGTTGGAACAATTGGAATAAAGTAGCCTCACTAGCCACCGGTTAGTACAGCACTGAAACATTTGGGTTGTAAATAATGAGGAGGAGGTGGTTATTTTATAACCATAGTGAGTATTAGCCATACAAGCTTTAGAGGAATGAATGCTTGTCTGTACTGGAATAGAAGACTATTTCCTTGTTATTTAGTTTAAAAATGAAGATATTCAAAATATTTTCTCATATATAATTATCCATTCCTTGCAGGCTGAACTTCAGCCTTGCACTTTCTGCTGAGTTCCTTCTGACAGTTGTATTGCTGTGATGGTAAACACTGTGGATTAGAATAGATATCAACACATTCTTGAACTGTATACAATAATTAAACTGATTAAATGAAAATGGTTAGCTGAGATCTGTGGATGTTACACCCTTTATTTAAATGGATGTGCATAAAAATATACTTCTTTCTTACACCTCAGTAGACTTGATCTGGAGACATAAAGCCTAATCTTGCAGTCCTTGGACACAGAACTTGCCCTGAGTTCAAAGGGAGTTTTAGTTGGGCAGGGAACGCAGGATTAGTACATTGTGTTAAATACCACCATGAAGAGCCAGGCTGCAGGATCAATTAATAGCTGTTCTTAAAGTGACTGAAACAGGGGAAAAAATAATGTAAATTTCTTATGAAAGTTTCTTATTTTGGGGGTTGTTGAAAAAAGAATGTCATACAGAATAATAGCATATTATATGAAAGCCAGTCTATTTCTGTCAAGACTTAATTGAGGAAATTTAATTTTCTTCCCTAACTGAATTGCTGTTGATAATCTAAAGTAATTCTGTCTGGTCTGTCTAATTTAGCAACGGAAAACCTGGATCTTGGAGCTGTGCACAAGAATGTAGCAGATTTTTCTAAAACAGCTTTTCTGAATAGAAAGGCAGTAACTTATGGCAGCATGACAAAAGATTTATTTTTTTATTTTGATGTAAAACACTTCAGTTCTTGTACCTCAATGCACTGACACTCCCTTTTTCAGAGAAAGAAATGCATTTTTGCAAATCAACAGACCTTGGGAAAATTGAGTTTGGACAAAAAACTGAATTCATTTTGTTTCTCTAAGCATTTTCCCATGTTTCAGATTTTGTACTGATAGATTGATGATATGATTTGCTTTAAAACCAGGTGGCCTCTTACTTTCCATCTGTTGTGTCTATTGCTCTGTCTCTAGTGAGAAGCATTGCATAGCTGTGCAGGCATCTGTACCCTTGAGAGAAAACTCTTTATGCTATCAGAAATGTTCAGCGAGAGAGAATATAGTTCTGCAGTATCTTAAATGTGAGAAGTATCAGAAATCTGAGCCTCTGGAAGGATCATGTTTACACACACCCAAAGCGAGCGCACTGAGTTTATATTAGCATTGTGTAAACAGCTTTACAACAAAACCAAAATCTAGCGGTGACCTTTTCAGAAGAAATGGTTTCAGATCTTGCAAAATCACCTGACCACCCTGCAAACATTTGCTGTATCTTTTTTGTCTCTCTGGATTCCAGAGGTGGTGCTGCTTTAGAAAACATGTTTTCCCCAAGAGTAGAAGTTTTGATGAAAAAACGCCATTTGAGCTAAGATCGGCCATGATTTCTCTGGTCCTGCAAAACAGAGACTTACTGTCGAGCTAAGATATGTGAGCTAAGTCTGCTGGAAAAATTGACTTATTAGAACCAAACCGTGTTAGGTAACAGGTTGCCCACAGCTCTGATTTACATGATGTAGTCAGTCGACAAACAGGGAGGCGACGCGGCAGCCTGGTGTTCTGCTCCACGTGGGCTGGGAGCGTTTATCCAAGAGAAGGCGCATGTTTACGAATGTAAACACAGAGTGCGCGGAATAAAGTCTTTTCCGGGCCACTTCCAAAGAATGTAAGTAACAAACCCCCAGTGCTTTGGGGAAGGGTGTCGGTGTTTCTGACCGTCCTCTCTAGACAGCCGTACGTGCAGCGGCAGGACGCCTGGAGGACTCTGCAAACCCGCAAGGGTTAGGGCACAGCGCAAAGGGCATCGGCGTCTCGGGCGTGTTCCAAAGAACGGAGGTCTCCTGGCGCGGGGGGGTCTTGTTCTGGACGCCCCTTTCTGCCTCTAAGGAAACAGCTTCCTCTTGCACACCTGCCTTTGCCATCCCGTGCAGGTCGCAGTTATAATCAGCTCCACACTAACTGCTTACATCAATTGAACAGGGTTGGTTAGAGGATTTTTTTTTAATTGTATTTTTTCTTAACTGGCAACAGTCCTAGCAGAAACGAAGTTATACTAGCGAAAAGTGCTCGTGCTTGCGTAGCTTATTTCATGTGCTGAACTGGTATTGGTATCAGTTACAAGCTGGCACTAGCAGTTTCCTGCTGTGATAGGACCTCGGTGCTAGGCTGGTTTACTGTCATGCCAGCAAACTTCTTCTGCTGTAGCTAGGCCTTGGATTACAAAAATTGACAAAATATGAGCAATCAGAAATATTTCTCACCAGATATGCTCTCTGTTACTGTATGCCTTTCACCCAGTTTAGACAATTAAATGAGAGCTGTTAGTTTCACTTTTATTTATTGTTAAGTTCAGTTTCGAGTTTTTCTTCACTTGTAAAAAATACTGTTGAATTTAGACTTAAGTATACTAAGGTTACTAATGCTTTTGTCTTCATCTACAAAGCACTGCAATTCGTGAATTTAAAAAGGAAGAAAAAATTTCCATTTGATTAAAAAAAAGGTTCTACTGAATTCCTAAGATCATATATTTTAGACCTAGACCCGTTTAGACCCCGATTCCTGCAAAAAAAGTCATGCACTTTGCTTTAGACATGTGACTACTGCTCTTACGATCATTGCGGCTACTCCTTCTGTTGGTGATGTTTAGCACATGTCTTTGCAGGAGCAGAGCACCTAATTACATGTCCCCATAATTAACGTTACGTAAGAGGATCAGCGAAAGACAAATGAGAATACTGCGAAGGAAAGTCTTAGCTGTATAATTTTGCCATTGTTGCAACAAATTTCTAATTCTGTCACTGTCGCCACTCAGTTTGTATTAGCCCCGCAGCGGGGAAGGAACTAATCCCTGGGATCATGAGTGAGAAACCAGAGGCTGAAATTAAAAATGGGGAAGTTTGCAAATGAGCACTGCGCAGTTTTCGGGGAAGGACGTGGGCACTTCTGACATGCGAGGCCCTGGCAGCGGTAATTTTCCGGGGGAGTAAAGGCCGCGAGCCGGCGCGCTGGTGGGAGGGCTCTGCTAATTCTGTTTTCCCTAGGCTAGTTTTGCTTTTGCTGTGACTCATCTCAGGACATGGAAAAACCCACAAGTTAAAACGGAAGTAAAATCGGCGCAGGTAAACGCTCTCCGTGCCGCCGGGGTCGGCGCCCGGGAACCGAGCTGGCTTTTGGGCGGACTTCAGGCGCTTTGGTGCCGCCGCGGCCGCGCAGGGGCCGGAGCCGGGGCCG